GTCCGTCAGCCATCTTTCACAAGTTCGCATGCACCGCTCGGCGTAACTGTTTTTGCCAAGCCAGCGGCGGTAGAACCATGATGGTCGTTCACGTCCAAAGGCTAAAATTTCACAGGCCTTATTCTGCAGCATTGATCCAGTCCAGATCTGAATCCGAGTTATCCACCACCATCCTCTAGACTATAGGCGCCTGAGTCTTCGTGGTGACTGACGATTTTGATCAAACGCAAGGAACATGCCATGCCCAATCCCGCCGCTGTCATTCTCGCATCCGGGCTGTTAATCCGGATCTTTCTTCTACAGTAATTTGTCCTCGAGGCATACGACAATCTGTCAGCATTCCGGTCGCCACCCAAATTAATCATTTCTTACTTTGTTGATTATGAATGTTTATATTTAAGAAACATGAAAGTTTTCCGTGAGACGCTTTAGACGACCGGACGTAACAGGAAAAGAAGGAGGTCAGACATTTCCGTGAGGTGAATATGTATATACTGCATCGGTTCGTGCGAAGTATCATATACCGATTGACACATAACTCGCTCAAGACTAGATCTCACGGCGTTTTACGACACCCCATTTTCAGTTGCCTGTATGGGAGGGGGGACGGAGGGGGCACTTCTGCTCTACGGTTCTTGAAGTGTGCTTCATATGAAAAATGTTGTGCGTGATAGCAAGATATTGCTCTAGCGAATAAAACGAAGCACCGAAACACGCAGCATTGCAAATGCTGAAGTACCACAGAGCATATATGACCCCCTACCCTCCCCGCGGTGAGTACCAGCAAACCGGTGTAACGTGGCGCCGGTGTAATCCGCCTTTGAGAAGGTTGTAAAATCTGGTGTTCAGCAATTATTTCATATGATGCCGCCTGGCGTTGTTCAGCTGTACGTTCCCAGCCAAAAACATTCGTCGAAAGAACAGCATTAATGAATACGGTGGCTCGCCTCCGTACTCAATGCATTATGAATCTGTTTACCGATCTCCTGTCCAGTGGACTAGGTCATCGTGGCGAAACGATCTTCGGTAAGGATTTCGTACCGATCCATCCGTTAGGCGGCTACTGGTTCCGTGCAGTCGAGACAGTGGTTCGGTTTCCGACTACAGGATTAAGAATAAAGTATGAGTAGATGAAAACAGCATTTTAAACCGAGGGTCAAGGTTCGCTTTTGATTTCATTTCGCAGATCTTTCGAACCTCCGGTGGCTAGGCATATAATACCATTTATCCAATATAGCTCGACAGGTTACCTCCTATACAGTTTGTGGGAACAGCCAGATGGCAGATGATTTAAGGAGCTCATGAGTTTAAGTTATTAACATTTTTTCAGGTCATCCGTGCAACACTGAGAATTCCCATCTCCAGCAGACAGTGACAGCAATTTCCCAATGACTGTCCCTGGTGAAGGAACTCAGGCTGCTACACGGTTTTTAACCATTCTAACGCATTCAAATATAAAGAGAACATAATCATCTACAGTGTATACGCCGCAGTCTGTCTGGCTACGCGTGTAGCCTAATTTGCAACGATGATGAACCATCAGCCTTTACAGAAGGCGGCGGCCGTTTCGGTTGTTGGTCCAATGACGAATGGACACAAATACGCTGTAGGTGTCGAGCGGACAAATTGCAAGAAGAACTATGCGGTGCAAGACCAGCAGGGCGTCTGACAAAATCGCCAGAAACGAGAAACAACCAAGAAGGCAAAAAGCGAATATCAACTTCTGTTTCGAGTTGACCGACGAGAGAAGAACCGTCCAACGGCTAAGAGGAACGCTCGTTGCCCGAAGCCGCAGGCAGACAAGCTATTAAAGGCATACTGTCGATCTTGGTACTTGATGCTCAGTACGAAGATGCGACAGGACGACAGACAGCAGCGTTGACGACTCCGGGTCACAGGTGTATCGAACGATACACGGTCCGATACATCAACCGAGGAGCGACGAAGTCAAGGTCGTCGTGAGTCGTCTGAAAAGGCTAGGAAGGAACGGAAATGGACGAGAGGGCAAAAGAGGAAAATAGAGGCCACGGCTAATAAGCCACGAAACGACAGAGCTTATTAACGCGTCCGCGACTTTCCATGCTTATTAATACTCAGTGCCAGAAGAACACGACGGTAGTCCTTACGAAGGCAAGATGGCGGTGATTTGTTGACCTCGTCGCGCAGTCAATGATTCGTCGCAGTCACTG